ATATTTATTTTCATGTTTAATTTACATATTTAGAACTAGTAAACCAAAATGTATATGTGAAATAATAAACACATGGTAAGATCAATGTACATATTAAATGCTATGAAAGTGAAACATATATAAGTATTGTAGTAATTATTAGTTATTGTATTTATTTATTGGGACTTCTGATAATATTAAATGTCAATTTATCGCAAGTAAAACAATTAGCAATTGTTTTCAATTAACAATTAGTGTATTATGACCGTATTAAAAGTAAACTGTTCACTAGTTTGTTTGGCATCTTCTACTGATACTGAGTTATGTACTTATATTACTAATAACACACATAATATACATCAAAATTCCTTTTTATTAAATTTGTAAATATTTATTCCAACTATTTACTTATATTTCGAAGCTAATTTTTAATTTTACAATTAAATGTAATTTTTATTTTTTACATGAAACTTTAATAAGTCTTTCATTTCGATCTGCAACCGATTCAAAGTTTTCAGTGTTTCACTACTACCACCTGCCATCAGGCCATCAGTATTATGTTCGACAAACGGAGCAGCACAAAAGGATAAACGCTCAAATGCAGTATATTTTTGTGGGATTAAATATTTCAAAAATAGATTTTTTATTTTTAATGTTTATAACTTTCAAACGCTACTAGAATATTGATGGACGATATCACCAAAATATCTTAATGTGGTCCTTTGAGTTTTAATCTTATGATGGTATTTTTCATATTATAAAAATTAATCAAATGTATCATTTTGACGTCAGAATCAAAACAAAACTATAATGAATTACTGTACATCTGTTTGATTATTAATTAATACCCATTTTATACTCGTATAAATTATTTTTTAGATCAATTTTTATTATTTGAGGTAATGCATACACATTTCTTTAATAAAATTAGTTATTTTTATTTCCTTGTTGAATAATAATATTCTTTAAATAAATCCACCACGGAACTTAATGTCAAACGTAGGCTGCAGGGAAAACTCGGCAATCAAGACTAAATAAAATAACCAAAGTTTAGCTGAATAATTTTTTATCAAACAAAAGAAACCTGATGGTTATAAATAATTCATTCAATGTTTTTAACATTAATATTTATTATATATAAAATTATGTAATCCCCAAAAATATATTCCATAGAAAAATATAATAAAAATTAAGAAATACAATAAATATATTATTTGAACAAGCATTAGCTACCTATTTAATTATTATATGTTATTGTCTAAATTAGAATAATAATAATATCTAGTATACAATTAATTAAATTAATACTAAATAAAATAGACCTCAAAAACAAAAATATAGTCCATGAATTTATGAATATAAATTTATTATATATGTACATATTGTTCAGGATTATTTTTGAGTATAATTATTGAAAATATTTTTTTTCAACTCAATAATTGATTTATAATTATTGCTTGTATTGGAGTATGATTTAAAACCCATTTAATTATATTATTCTTAATATATATAATACCAAGTATAACTTATAACTCGAAGAATAATTGTTTATTAATACATAATTCTACTTTATAAAGAAATATAAAAATTTTTAATTATACATATCACATTAACAGTTTTTTCCATAACATCAATGTAAACACATAGTTAAATAGATACATATTCATGTATCATAAGTCATACATTCAGTATTCAAAAATGTTTTGAAAACATTTAATTATTACAATTCTTAAGATTATGAATTATTATTTTATTAAGAAATGCACTACCTGTTAACAAACTGCAGTTATTACCTTCACTTAATGTCTGATTTAAAACTTCGTAGTATTTAAACTTATGAAGTGCATACTAATTGTGCGGAATTCGTTAAACTTTATTATCCAAAATTTAAAATATATTTTCATAAATGTTACCATTTATTTCGAATAGTTATACGAATTTTAAAAATAAAAGTAACTATTATAATATTAAAATATAACATTTAGCATATATTTAATAATTTTTTTAATAAAACTGAGTTTATTTTATTTCAATTCGCTTTGTAATGTATTTTATATACTGAACTAATTTTTGTATGTTTTCAATAGCAGTTGATAGTCAATTTTCAAAAACTCAGGGTTTTTGTTATTTGTCATTTAATCAGAATAAAAAAAATGAACACCTGGTTAGTTATAATGGTTTAACCAAAATTTTTTGGAATTCGGCAAAATTTGCGTTCACGTAAGTGCCATAATTAGAACTTCAACAGCTGGGACAACTATATAATGTGTAACTATAGCGACGCTATGATTCCATATTTCCAGACATGTAACACATTGCAGAAAAGCACGAATAAAGTTTTGTGTTTTTGTTAACTCAGACATTTTTAATAAAAACTTTTTAGTGTACTAAACACCAAGAAATGTTGCATGTAATACGTAGGTAGTATACTAAACTGGAACTATTCAAAATGTAAATATTTAATAATGGCGTATTGTTCGCCTTTTAGATAGTACAAAAACTTTAACAATTCGAAAACATACAACCTATGGGGTTATTTATTTGATTCCAAAACGATTTGAACGTTTCAGGTTGTACTCAATATTCTTTTAGTTCATTTTTGGTGTATGAGAAAAAAGGTAGTTAAACATTTTACGTATATGTGTATTATTTGTACGTGTATAACATATATATTAATATTATATATATTACTAGCTGACCCAGCAAATGTTTTTTCGCCATACTCACACGCACATTTGTATTATCGGATTGGATTTATTCATCTGTTCTTTACTCTTTTATATTTTTCATGTTTGTATCTGTATTTGTTCGAGAACTCAAATTGGCCCCTTTGGGTCAAATAGAACACATTTTTATTTTTAATTTTTTAACTATTTATATACAAACAATATTATTATTTCAACAATAATGTGTGATATTTACAATTTGCAGTTGTCACTGATATAACCAATGACTCCGCTTATATCATAGATATATAATTTATAAGTTTAGGGTGGCCCACCCATAACACTTAGGGGGTTGAAAAATAGTTTAGAAACTATACTCAGTTCCACCAAATACTCACAAAAAATTTCATGAAAATTGGTATCAATCCGTTTCAGATGAGTTCGATAAAAAACACTGTGAGGAGAGAATTTTATATACATAGAATATAAACTATTTATTATATAATATATAATATATATACGCCATCAACTAAAAAGCCGAAAGGTAAGTTTAATACATGTATAATTTAATTTCAATATTATAGAGCAGAAATCAATAAAAATATTCTGTTATAATTGTAATACCCAGTTGATTAGTATTAAGTGAGTAAGCATTCCCAATATGCACAATATTTATTTAAAACGATATTAGAATACCTTTTGAGCATTTTATATCCGAATTCAATACATCTATGTTTCAATAGTCTGAAGAACATAAAGAACAAATATAAAGATCAAATTATTTATATTTTAGATGACAGTTAAATTATAAAGATACAAATTGTAATTAAATTTAAATAAATCAATTTCAATTTCAATACGTTTTCATGTGCATTTACGAAGTGTTTTTCATTAAACAATTTTAAAACTATTAAATAGGTATACTTGAAGATTTGATTTGATTGGCGTTGAAAAATGCTAGTACAATAATTGATTAAAGAAGGTACCTACCAATTTTTAAACAATAAAATGAAAACCATAACTTTATATCACGGAAAAATAATTTTTATTTTACTATTACAATATAAAATTATGTATCTCAATAGTAGGCAATTATTTATTACCGGTTTAATTTTCAGTCGAGAATAAACATTAAAACAATGTGATTAAAAATCAATGAAAATGCTTGTAAATTACAATCATAACATTCAAAACACACTACAAGATCTGTAGTATAAATATCCAACCTTTTTTTTGCGGGAGTCAGATAAATATTAACTCTATACATTTTTTTTTTTTTTTTTACGCCACTTCAAACGATATCATTTTTTTTTTTTTTTTTTTTCAATAAAAGAGAATAGAGTAATATAAATATTAATGTTATTTTTTTTAGATCACACTACTACGCGAATATAAAATATAAAATATAAACATATGCTTTCACCCATTAATACTACTACTACTACTAATACTACTACTACTACTACTACTACTACTACTACTACTACTATTACAACTACTTAAACTTCTACTATCACGAAAACGCTTATTTATTAAAGAGTAGAAAAGATGAATCGATGTAACACGTTTGAGTGGAAATTCATTTTCAATCAAACACAAAATCGAACGTGTTCACACAAGACGATTAAATTAAATTTCGTCAACGTGGTTTTTTTCGGCTCACTGAACAATATTTATGAATCTACACCTACGTAGACCGACCGACGAATGTGTACTATTATTGCGATTTTATTTTTTTTTCCCCCCGTGCACGTGTACAAACAAGTAGGTAGCAAATAAAAACCATTTCATTACGACGCGGTTTTACAGTGTGAACAGTAAATAAGTAAATAAGGAGCCCCCGTAGCTTTCGAAGACACTGACCGGGTAAAACGTACCGATTTTTGCGTTGACACGCACGAATTCAACGCGTTTCGTACGTTACGTACAACCTGCATCAGATCTCGTCTCAGAAGTTCTTTTTTACGCGTGTACATAACGTACTGTATAACTATATGTCGTCACGCGTGGTACTGCATTACGCGGGAACGATGAACGTCAGTGTTTTCGTGGAATTTCATCAGGCACATGCACAGTGTAGACAGTATAGATACGTGCTAGAGAAATTCTGAGACCAGGTCCGAGGGGAGGAGGACGCGCGAAGAAAAAAAAAAAGGAAAAAAAAAAAGGAAAAATAAAACGGACGTGTTTCTGTTACTCGGCCGTACGCTGCGGTGCCCACCATTGTCTGTCCGCGGACACGCGTTCTTACGCGGTCGGTGCACGGGGTAATACGCGCGTTTTCGTGCGTAAGACCTTGTCGCCGTCATGCGGTGACGAGCGTCCGGTTCGCGCGGCGAGTGCTGGTTTTGTTACCTGTCGAGCCAGGTACGAGTGGTGACCGCCGAGCAGGGCCATGGTGAGCACGTACGTGAAACACGTGGTGGCGCTGAGGGCTATGCACAGGGCGAGCGTCAGCGGCAAGGACACGTACGCCAGGTAATCGTAGAGCAGTATCCAGCCGAGCAGGTCGGCGCCCTCGGCCTTGTTGACCACCATGTGGAACACCACCTGGACGACGGCCGTCAGCCAGGCCAGGTGGGCCACCGCGGTCCAATACTGACGCCGGCCACCGGCCAACCGGCACCACAACAGCGTTGTCACGTTGGCGGCCAGCAGCGTCCACGTCCACGGTGACCGGGCATCGTACACGGACAGGCAGTACACGTCGAACAGCACGGACGCGGACACGTAGCACGCGAACGCCGCGCGCTTCTGCTTCGCATTGTAACTCTGGTACAGGCTCTCGATGGCTCGGTCCTCGAACCGTCTGGCGTTCGGCGCGGCCGTCGAGGCCGCGGGCTCTGACGCCGACTTGGTGCCCGTGGGTTCCATCGGCTCCGCAGCCGTTGCACGCGAAAAACGTTTGTCTGTGCGACGCGTGACCGTCACCTACGGAGTGTATCGTTCGGTGGACGCGTGACCACGTACACTTTTAACCGCGTGACCGACGTTACGATCTGATAGTAATAATATAAGAATTACTGTCAATATTATTACTGTTATTGTTATTGTTATTATTATTATTGTTGTTACTGTTATTATTATTGTTGTTATTGTTAAATCGAGTGCAACAACAACGGCGGCGAAAATTACGAGATTAACGAGATAACACCGGTGGAAGTGCACGGTTTCCAGGTGAAGCAAACGAACGGCTAATAACGCGATAGTATAGTGTCGTTACCGGCGCGTGTAACTCACGGGCCCCCTCCCCCCGGATTGGCCACGAACGCGTGTGTTCGACCTATGCTTGGGACCGGACCGACAGACGACCGACACACTCGTTGCGCCCGGTGCCACTGACGCTGCTCTGTCGTTGACGACGCGGTACTCGTATTCGAAGTCGTAATCGTCCGTCCGCCGTCGCCGCCGCCGCCTCGGTGATCGCCGTCGTCGCGAGCCGCCGTCCGCGTAGATTCGCCGCGGTAGTCGTCGTAGTCGCCGCAACGCAGTCCAAGTCCGCTCGTCGTTGTCGACCGCCGCCGCCGCCGCAGTTAGCGCTGCTGGTCGCTGCGGTAAGCGGTGGCGGTGCCCGCGAATGTGTGCGTGTGCGTGCGTGCCCGTATGCGTGTGCTATTGCTGCCGCCGCCGAAACTGCTATTAACGAGCATCCCCCCGACCCGCCGCCGCACCGCGAGACCACAATCGATATCAACGCGCGCGTCGACAACGCACACACGTTCACGTTCACGTACGCACGCATGGTATAAGGATACACTTCCGCGAGTGTTAACGTTCGCGTGAACTGCACACGGCATAGGTGTTAGCCGTTACGTTCGCGCGTGAAATTCCCCGAAAACCGATCCGCCGCCGCGATTAGTTATCCTCGCGTCCACGCGTGATTGGGGCGGGAAAGGAAACGATCGCTACTCCGATTCGTGATAACAATCGTGATGGAACAATACGGGGCTGAGCAACGACGAGTTTTCTTTCTCCTTCCACGATAGTATAATAAACGCACCAGTAGTCCCTTAAATTCTACAGTGTCTCCTCCCCACCCCCTGACTGATTTTTCTTTTTCGATTTCACCGCGCTCGCCATATACACGCGTAATGTATCACAACCGCTGCGATATCGCCGCAATCTAATTTCCGCGCTGAGTGTTCTCGACAGTTCTGACCAACATAACTCTTCCCCACGCGCCCCCTCAAAAGACAAAAAGCCCCTACCGGAACCGTCACCGTTACGCTACACACGTAATATCAGCTATACCTATATGTGTGCTGCTGCTGCTACTGCAAAGGACAACCGCAGCTGATGATGGGAATATGACGGTATACGGTGCGAAAGGATATTTTAGTAGTCGCTCCGCTCCGACCCGCGGAATAAACTGTTTGTTTTGCAACATGACCGGTGGTGGGGCGGTGACACTTTGACGTGTCCGCGTATTATATTATGCATGTGCCACCATCGGCAATGCGATTTCGCGGTTTGAGAGAATCCCCGATGCGCACCCCCGCCGATGAGGATTCCTCGCACTGTCCTGCACCGGCTAGTGACACCGCCCACGGACGAACGCTGTCGTCACGCGTGACACTTGTCCTTTCTCGTGCGTGTACACAAGCGACCCTGACCCGTCGTGCCGGTCGACGTTACGCCTATCCCGTACGTACGCGTCCTGACCGAGGCGGTTAGTGGCTGCAGTGCGTTCTCGACGACTTCCTCCGCAACCACCACCATAATATACCATCGATCACCGTACGTTCCCCTACTTTTTTTTTTCGTAATTGGTGTAGGTACAGGTTGCTTTACTTTTACGGCTTTTGTTCTCCGCACTCAACGGTCTCGCCCACCGTCTACGTTAGCATTGTATACAGGTATACGTATATTTGGTACGTGACATGATTGCGATCTGGTTTGGTTCCTAGTGTTTTCTCCTCTTTTATTACCGCGCGCAACCCTTCTGGGCGTCCACGTTTGGCCAACCTCACACATAATCCGTAAAAACGATTCTTTTCGTACACCGTTCCGAGTATCATGAACGTTTTTATTGTTTCAAACATGAGCCGATAATCTTCATCACGTTCTTGTTAGATGTCAAGCGTGTCTTCTACACTTTTGTCTCGGCACGATACACGCGGTGTTACACGTCAGATATTACAAGCGGCGTGGTGACGGGTGTCTTTTCCCTGGCGCACTTACGCCAGCTCCAGAAATATACGGTAGGGACGGGTTCCAAAATACTAGGTACCAACAATTTCTTATTTGCGTGTATATTACATCTACGAATAACAACCGCCGAATAGTATATATAATTTATATGACAAAACTGTCGGTCGATATTATGCGGTGTGCAAAAATACAGTTTATGGAAAACGCGTTATTCTTGTAAGGGTGGGTGTTTTTATAAAATTGCACTAGAGTGTGAAATTTTGTCACCACGCCACTGGACACTACTACTGTTTGCGTGTATGATAATACGAATGCGATTACCACGTATTATTACAAATAGCACTGAATTACTACCCTTTGGGTTGGGTACATATTGTATGTAACATTTATGTATGTATTCTGTAAACGGACCCGGTATCATACGACGTCACGTGATAAATCACATTCGCATTTATAATATACGCACATTATGTGTGCGCAAAAATCTTGTGGTTTGCGAGTATGTATTTTATAGTGTATGTTTGTATGTGTGTGATTGTAAGTAAAATTTATTGAACCCTCTGTAGCGGTACTTGAATTAAGTTCACCAAGGAACCCTAGGGCTCTGTCACAACTTCTTAGGAACATATTTTCTTGTGTGAGTAAATTTTAAACGGATTACTAAACAATGGTTTTGATAATTATGTAGTATCATTGTCGAAGAACAATATTCCCTGATAATAACTATAGAAAAACAGTAAGTCTATGAAAACCGCTGCTAGTATGACTCAAGACTTTAGAACACGTTAATATGTTTATTATCAACTTGACAATTATCGCGCGTGAACGTTATTTCTGACATAATGCCACTGAATCCCTTTTAAAACCCGCGTGGTCACAATATACTTACTTTTTCTCTCGGTTTTTTCTCTTTTTCCCTTTTCCTCTTGACCTTATTGAGATGTTTTTGTTGCCATTGAGATTCTACCAACATTTGCACACCTTACACTTAAAACTTTTATAATAATTGTAAACGAAATTGTAAAATTATCACAACGGTTGTACTCGAATGTTGTCACCACCACTACACAAGGGGTGGGTTTTATCACTAACCAAGGGATGGACTAATGGAGGTTTAAGAATTTAGTTAGTTGGTTTTTTAAATCTATATAAAATTTTAAATTACAGAATATGTTTTTGAGTCTCTCATAAGTAAGTCATTTTTTTCACAATAATGACAAAGTTTAAATAGTTACATTATTAGTATTAATTTTAATCTGAAACCATTTTAAAATATAAGTAAATACATATAATTAATAACAAAAGTAAGCTATTTATTTATAAAAAAAATACATAAAATAGGTATCATATTCATCAATGACCATTGACGATATTTTATTATAATTATTAATATATAATAATACTTTGCTTTGTAAAATAGATAACTCAGTCCCAAGGAGGGGGGATAATGCCCCCTTAGCCACCCCCTTAAACCCGCCCGTGTACTACACAAGCATCAATACTACCGTCATCTATACCACCCGGTGGTGGAACATACGAAGCATGAAAAAGAAAATGATTCTATTATGCCGAACTATTAAGGTAGATTGAGAAACGTTCGCTGTGGATAATCGTAATGATCAACATTATATCTTCTATAATATTATAGAACATATTACGTTTCTTCAACAAAGTTATTTACAATGGAAGATAAAAATAACTCACCGGAAAAAATGATGATAGTGGAATACCATGCAGTGATGCATTTGGGGAAGTTTGAATGAGACACAAAGTACTAAAGGTAGGTTAGAATTTTTTTAGAATATTTATGAATTTTCGAGTACTTTTAGACGGCAAGTTAGGGTGGGCGAGTTAGAAAAATGTTATCACGATGTATAAAACATTAGAATGTGCGTGTATGCATATAAATAATAGGTTCTCGTTTAAATGTGCTAATCTGTAATAAAAATCGTTACAATTTAATGAATACAAAATTACCTATACAACATCCCTAAATTTCGATATACGCACAGGCTCAGATTATAATACATTCCGATGTATTATTCAGTTTTATTTGTTTAATTATTACAGGTGCTGGGTGTTTTTTAAATATTACACACTACACTGTTATCATGCGATATATCTTATCTAAACGTGAAAAGTATTTCACATCTGTGCTATGTAGAGTGTAGCTCTACACTTTATGTTGCGTGTTGTGTGTGTTAGTACATTTGTTTACTTTTTTTTCCAATTACTATTAATGGTAAGAATGGAAACGTACATTTAATGTACGATACACGATATGAAATCTAACCTAACTTAACCTACAATAATCAACATGAGTTTATAATATATGTTTATGGGATAAAAAAGACGTGTCCGTTGGGATGCTATGCCTCAAATAGATTCATTATAAACATTATACTAGTATAAGTTATCTCAATCGTATTCGATACTAATAATTCCAAACGTTTTTGTATTACTCTATTTTTTGCTTTTATATTATTATAAGTAGGTAGCAAATTTCAATTCATTGTTCGTAATTCAATGTACGCATATCACGAAGCTAACAAAACATTCGTATAAAACGTTTAATTACATATGCGTGAAAATGTGTTTGTGTGTACGTGTACGTCAATGTATAGTGAGCACCACATGTACACATGCATGGCCACACGCCGTACATATTAGCTATTTCGTTGTACAACATAAATGGTCAAGTGACACAATTTACATAACTGAGTAGGTTCGAATATTTTACTTTGATTTTGAGACATGGAAATTAAATAATTGTATTATATTAATCGATGAAAAATAATTTGGTTAAAAATAACTTAATATTTTTTTTTTTTTTGTAGTTAATTGTGTGATGGGAGTGGGTTTCGAATCCCCCCTTGACAGAACCTCATCTAATAAATAAATAGGTAATGATAAAAATAATTATTGAACCTAAATATATCATACCCCACCATAAATAATCTTTACCTATGCCATTGCGTAAAGTACAGTAATTTCCATCTAACTGATCAATAACATTTAATGTGATTAAGTATAAAATAACTTTAATTCGTCATAAATTTTACTTAATATCAAATGTTCAATATTTTATTTTTTTATTTTTTAAATTCTAAGAAGAATTTATTTTGATAATTTTTAAATACAAGTTTAGTTTTTACTTGTTTATATTTATTTGGGTAGAATATTGTGGCTACAAAGTTAGAAGTATGGGACAGTTGGTCTCGAAAAGTCTTCAAGACGTACTTAAATCTGATGTAT